AATAATAGGTGTCCCACTGTTTAACACAAACCTTCAAAACAAGAAAAATGTATCAAGTTTCGAAAACTTGAAATTTTTCTATTTAATCACAATATAATTTAAATAGAATATATGCATTATGTAGAAAAGAGTTCATACCTTATGGTAATACCAAAAAGTGTCCAAAAATATATAAAATTGACATATTAATATGTCTTTGAAAAAAAGTGTTCTTATGCCATTTTGAATTGTCTAGATAGAGAAATGCAATGTTAAACAAAGAAGTACTTATGTTATATTCCTTGGTGTAAGAAAGAAAGTTATGCGTTACCTATTCAGTTTTAGACTTTCTTTATAGCTTTTTCACGTGATAAAGGGAGAAAGAAATAATTACCTGGGTCCTCAGAGTTATTAATTAATCCTCTTTAACAGATTGCAGGTCAAGCGAACCCTCATTTGCAAAATAAAGATATATATTTCTCTCTCCATAACTTGTTCTTTTCTCTGTCACCGAAAACCCAGCAGGGGTCCGGACGGAATGAGTGAATGAATGAATGAATGACTGAATACCAAGATTATTATAGTTAATAATAATTTACATATTTATATGCATATTTCGAAGTTGTAGATAAATAAATTATAAATAAAGAATTGTAAAACTAGAAAGTATTCCTGCATACTTGTAGAAACATATATTAGTCCAAACTTACAATGTAAGCGTCAGTCAATGTTCAGGAAATAATAAAATATCAATTACCTGTAAAAAAACAATAATTATAAAATTATATCTTTAAGATATCCTCAGAATATCTTCACATGATACAGGATGTTCTAGGATATCCTTAAGAAATTCAAACAACATCCATAAAGGATATCCTACATATGTACCCAAAATATCCTCAAGACATTCGAAGGATATCCTTAAGAAATTCAAACTATGTCCATTAAGGATATTCTTCATATAAACCCAAGATATTCTCAGGTATGATATCCTTAAAAAATTCAAACTATTTCCGTAAAGGATATCCTACATATATACCCAAGATATCCTCAGGACATTCCAAGGATATCCTTAAAAATTGAAAATATCTCCGTAAAGGATATCCTACAAATATACCCAAGATATCCTCAGGACATTCCAAGGATATTCTAAGATATCCTTAAAAATTCAAACTATCTTTATAAAGGATATCCTACATATACCCAAGATATCGTCAGGACATTCCAAGGATAACCTAGCGATGCCCGAATGATATTTTTATAAAATCCAGACATATCCTTGTATGCCATATTTCGGTTGTTCTTCTGACATCCTATGGATATCCTTTGGATGTCCCATGAATATTATTAGATATCAGTATAGATGATAATTTTTTTGGATTTGCATAATTTAGTCAAGATGTTATTTGTTTTTGGTAAAAATCCACATCTTTATCATCACTGCCATCTCCAGTGCTAATTATGAAGGATTCAATTTGCGTTTCAACATATTGGTCTGTTTTTCTTGATTTTTCTTCTTCTGCTTCTGCATGTGTAACACAATTTGATCACAGTAATGGTGTCACATGGTCCAATGCCTCTGAGCACAACTTATGAACATTATGAATTTTGTGATCTTTATTATGTTTTGCAACATAATTTTTTACGTATGCCCATATAAGTTCAATTGTATTATATTCGCAATGGGCGACAGGCAACCACAATAATTGAACTTCATTGCTACGAATATATCTTGTTATTTTTTCAAGTAAATATTGTTTAGGATAGCGATAACTTCGTGATAATTCTAATAGTGATTCTTTTGTTAAATCGTTAAAGTCCTTTGCAAAATCAGTTATTGGTACCCCACGTTTATGTAACCACTCAATAAGTTTAGCTTTTAACCATTCCGCTGTAGGATTTCGAAATTCTGAATCAAGCATTGTATGGTAAGGTGCTTGATCTAGAACAATGACTGCTTTTGGCGGTAAAACTGTTAACACATGTCGGAACCATTCTTCATAGTGTTTTGCATTCATTTGACTATGATAATCATTAGTACCTTTTTTACCAATGAAACATTTTGAGCAACCGGGCACAAAACCATCTTTTCCACCAATATGAAGAATAATAATTCGCTGTCCTGATCCAGATGGAGTTATGAATCCTCCTCGTTGACCGAAAACTTCTTGCACGTGATTGCGATAATAATCAAAATTATTATGTTCACTTGAAACCAAATTTTCAACCCAACCAAACTTTCTTGAGTGATTTGCTCCGTACCATGTTTCGTCACTATAAATGATGTTATGTCCTGTATCACGATATGATTTAATTTTGCGAAGAAAGTTATCTCTTTGCGCTGCTATTGTACTACTCTCCATCCATACTGGTTTCTTTTTCAGCTTAACATATGAAAAATTTAAATTTTTCATCCAAGTTCGGAGTGTCGATAAATGAAAATGTGGCAAATCAGGCACATCATTTGCCAGTTCAACAAATAAGGCTTTAGTAGTTGGAAATTCTTTTCTCACATAAAAGTTATGAATTTTTCTTCTAATTAACCTTTTTAAAAAATCGTCACATTGGTGGCCTTCCACTTTTTGGTTCGATACCAAATGTACCTTTATTTAACCACTCTGCTATTATTCGTTTTACACTTTTTTCAGAAATTTGTAAGCAGTCTGCAGTACGTTGAACAACTTTTGATATATCACTAGCTTTAAATCGTTTTTCTATTTCAAAATATTGTCTTGTACAATGAATAAGTTTTTTCTCTTCTTCTGAAAAATAGTGTTTAGTTATTTCATTTTGTTCATTATGACATTTATTTAAATTAATTTTTTCTAGCTCGTTGGTTATTATTAATTCGTCAGTATTGTTAGAGAACTCTGAGTTGGATGAATTTAAAAGCATTGGGACATTTCCGTTATTTTCAACATTTATTTCATTCGACATTACTATATTTACTCCTTGTGCATTATTTTGTTCAATTGTTAAATCTTGGAAATTCGTACAATTCACCAAATCTCCATTCATTTCCATTAAATTTATTCTGTCAAATATTGGATCTTCAAAATGTATATTATTCAATATATCTTCACGTATTTCATCTATTTCCATTAAATCTGATGTTAAATTAAATTCATGTATGGAGTTAAAAGTTGAAAATGTCCATCCCGATCTTTATAATATATATAATATTTAGCGATACATCTAAACAAACAATCACCATTACTTCCGGCGTCAGTCACAAAAAATCACGATTTTCAATTGTTATTTTTAAAGTCATATTTAAAGGTTATATATAATTATAAATAAAAATAACTTCCTAAAAAATTTAATTCCACAATGAACTATTGTCACTTTATATTTCCTGCACATAAACACAGTTTCATGAACCACAGTTCAAAACTAACTAAACTAAGATTCTTAAAATTGTATAATGTGCGAAAACATATTTCTCACAAAATCGTCTTTCAAAGAAATTGAACTTCTTAAAAAGTCATTTAAAACTAATTTTTAAAATTGTGTTATAGCTAGGAATAAGTAATTTAAATGTAGTTCTTTATTATAGTTGGCAATAAGTAATTAAAATGTTATTCTGTATTAAAATGCGGAATTACATAGGCTTTCAATTGGTAAGATCATAATTACGGTAAATTTATTTGTTTATAAAATATTTTATCTTTTATTAATATTAACTAATTAATTAACTAATATCTCAAAAACAACGAAAACGGCATTTTATTTAATACCCAAGTATAGCACGTAATAGCACTGTAATATTAAAATGTCCGCCTCATGGTAATATTACTGTAATATCGCAGTATTATTACTGAAATATTGCAGTAACATTACAGTAACATTCAGTAATATTGCAGTAATATTACTGTAATATTACAGCAATATTAACCTGTAATATTATCCGGTAATATTAACCTGTAATATTATCCGGTAATATTACGTGCTACTTGGGTATGTTTATTAAAAGTATAGATTTTTACTTTTATTTTAAGAGGTAGAAAAAACAAAAAAAGTCAACATTATTTTTGATTTAAAAAAAAAGTAAATTTTGAATTTAAAAAAAAATTTGCACTTTTCGAAAGATCAGAAAAAAATCTTTTGAAAATATATATGTAGGTCAAAAGTTTTTCACATTTTTATATAAATGTTATGATAATAACATAATAACTATAATAATAGGTTTTGTTAATTTTTTTCTTCACTTTTTTTTGAAAAAAACGAATTGAGCGTGTCCTTATTCTATTGTGGTAAAACCTCCATGGTAAGTTATAGGAAGTATGCTTTTCGTATAAGTCTGTCTCCCTCTTACTCATGAATGAAAACTAACATGGAGGTTTTTCTGTGGTATACCTGCGTAGGTTATAAAAAAATGGGTTGCGAAAAGTTAATAAAATAATGACTTTTTATTTATACAATATGTTTAAGAAGGAATCAAATATTATTAAATAAATTGGCTTAACGATATCATATAAATTGAATGAGCTACAAGCTTTTAAAGTTGCCCTTTGTCAAAACCATGCAAAAAACCATGTATTTTTAATCTTTAAAAATCTGTAACAAATACAAAAATTTTTTTGGTTATTTGCAATTCTGTATAGAAACGTAGGAATAGTGTAGCTACTGATTCTACCGTCTATCTTCGGTACGACCTTATGCTGTATATTCACGTGTACTAAAATAGTAAGGAGCCGAGCTACTACAGCAAGAGGTGGTACCGAAGATGGACGATAAAGGCGCGTACGAAGAGAGCTACATAGATCCATGCTGTAAAGACTCGTTTTTTATTCTCCGTGTAGATTCAGAGTGCAACCTGGCACCACTGTTTTAAATAATATAGTGAAAACTTTTTATAAACATAAAAGAAATTTGTTTAAACATAGATTACTTTTCTAGGTATAAATAATAATTTAATGAAAACAATTAACATTTTAATTTAAATTATTTTTGTTCATTTACATATATTATTTTTTCTAATAACTAATAATAGTATGTTCTTCAAAAAATTTTAAATTTAGATTTCCAATTTATTCTCTTACAATCGTAAATGAAAACACATTCGCCACAGGAGATGATGAAGGAGTTGTAAAACGTAAGATTTATTATCAATTATATTATAATAATTTTTATGTAATATTCGTGTAGTTTTAGAAAATTTATCCTTTTTAATAAAGTGATTTTAATACGTTAGAAAACATCTTCTATAATTGTATTATCCAAAATAACAAACAAACAAAATTTATCGCAATAATCACATAATAATTTTATTGAATTGATAAGTTTTTACACGCTTAATATGTAATTTCTTTTTGACTATTGTGAAGTCATATACAATTATTAAGTGATTTACAAATTCATCTTTACTGAGATTTTTTTCTAATTTTAACAAACTTTCTAATGTAGTTATCATATTTGACAATAATAATTTTCATTAAACGTACCCTATTAAAAATAGTGTTCAAGAATTTACCTAATACAGTTTGTATGACCACGCAGCACATTACATTTCCTAAATATTTTCTGAATATTTCATTCAAAGATTTGAAATATTTCAATGCAGTTTTCATAAAATGTTGATGAAAACAAGAAAATGACCGCTTATTGAGAAATATTACCGTTCAAGTTTGTTCAAATATTACGCCTAATACTCCTTCAATATTACATACGAAGACTCTGCAATATTCAGGACTTATTTATTCAGAAAATAAATGTTAATTTAAAAATTGTTTTCTAACCATCAGTTAGAACATACATAAGTTTAAAATGAATTAAAGATTAGTTTGGTTAATATCGAAACGATCAGTTTCTGTGCAACTGTGAGAGATTCACTTTTAGTTTTTTTTCTCAAAAACACAGCCCGATTAAACAAATTACAGCGGCATATAATTTTTTGCAAACATTTAAAAATTAGTGGAAATTCTTACTAATTGGTAGAGCTGAAAGTCGTTAAGTTATTAAATTACTTTTGTACAGACTTGTATTAAGTGAAAATCATTATACAGTGGCAATGATATGAAAAATATTATTAGGATGGTAGATTAGATTTTTGCAGCTGTCACTCATTTACAGAGATGTATCAATATATATAAACTTTAATATAATTTTGCAGTTTGGGATCTTAGACAACAGACGACCAAACCAGTTTTTTCCTTAAAAGAAATGGAAGAATATGTTAGTGCAATGTTAACAAATAGCGATGGAAAATATTTAGTTTGTTCAAGTGGAGACGGTTGCCTTACAACTTTAAACATTCCTGCAAGAAAACTACATGTCCAGGTAAAAATATATTACTGTTAAGGTGGGTTCAATAATTAAACTTAATACACATATCTTCGTCACTTTAATACTGTGTGACCAAACACTGGGTGGTTTAGGTCTCGATAAAGGTGGAGATGAATTGGCTGCGATTTTAATTTCCGCAAGTGATGTTGTTAAAGCATCAATGGATTGCTCAGAAGAATCTGATGTTTTACTTTTTATTTTCATCTTTTTTTTCGTTTTCGAGATATTAATTAATGTTTACAACAAATGAAATTAAGATTTAAACTCCTCCTCTCTGCAGAAAGAAAGATTTCTACTCGTGGATTCTAAAATTCATAATGGAGAGAAAAAAAAATTTAATTAAACAATATTTAGTCCCATCCCATTAAAAAAAATGGAAAATTTTTTCCTACAAAAATTAAGATTTAAACTCCTCCCCTCTACAGAGAGAGCGATTTATATTCGTGGCTTCAGAAAATAAAAATGGAGAAAAATTTAATTTTTTTAATAAAAATAAAAACTAGTTTTTTTGCCAATAAAAATTAGGATTTGAACTCCTCCCTGAAGAAAGAATGATTTCTATTCGTGGCTTCAAAAATTAAAAATGGAGAAAAGTTTAATTTTTTTAGTTTTTACAATATTTATTTCCATCTCCTCAATTCAAAATGGAGATTTTTTGCCCATAAAAATTAAGATTTAAACTCTCCTCTTCTACAGAAAGAAAGATTTTTATTCGAGAAAAAATTAATTTTTTATTTTGACACTATTTAGTCCTATCCCCTAAATAAAAAGTGTAGTGTTTTTGCCCTAAAAATTAAGATTTAAACTCCTGCCCTTTACAGAAAGAAAAATGTCTGCTCGTGGTGTAAAAAATTTAAAATTGAGAAAATATTTAATTTTTTAAATTGACATTATTTGATTGAAAGTGAAAAAGTGAAAAAGTATTAATTTATTATTTTAAAGAATTTGAAAGGGTAATAAATAGTGAAAATTAATGTGTTTATTGTGTATATTTTGCGTGTATCGGACAACGTTTATCGACAGCAAGTTACATGTTACACCGGTGAACGCTAGATGGCAGCACATTAAACCATTAATAAGACTGACAAGAAAAATATTTAACATACTGAACGTCGATGATGCATCTAGACACAAATAAAAAAATGCTAAAGACTTATTAAATATTTAGAAAAATTTGTTACTAGGGGGTTTAGGGGTTCCTAATTATAAAATTGATATCAGATTTCCAAAATTCAAAATACGGAATAAAATATAACGAATAGAAGAAAATTAAAACATAATCAAATTCTCCATCAGCTTGTTACTCGGAAGTTTTTGGGTTCGCTGATTACGAATATAATAACAGAATTTGAAAGTTCAATATGGCGAAACAAAAATTAAACTTTAAACAAATTCTCTGGAAATACGTTACTCGGGGGTTTTTTGGGTCGCTGATTACGAATATAATAACAGATTTTCAAAAATCAAAACGGCGGATCCAATATGGGGGATCAAAACCATTAACCATTAATCGAATTCTCTCAAAACTCATTACTCAGGGGTTCTTGGGGTCGCTGATTACGAATATAATAACAGATTTTCAAAATTCAAAATGGAGTAACAAAAAAATTAAACATTAATCGAATTCTCTGACAGTTACTCGGGGGTTTTTTGAGACACTTGCTTTTCACCGAACGGTTAATACATCGAACTGACAAAGCCGTACAGCAAATAGATATCCTTAGGATATATCGAAAAAATCATGGATATCCCACAGATGTCCATAGGATATAATAGATCTCCCTGGGATATCTCTGGGATATCAAAAGTTCCCTCTACTAAGATGTCCTTAAGATTTCCGTAGTGGATATTTGTTGGATATCTGGGATATTTAAAAAAATATATTGAAAACAGTTTATAATTAATCAAGAATATCCTATGAATATAAATAAATAATAGAAACATTTTATTGGCTGAAAAAACAAGTGTTTTCATACAAGATACGAGATACGTAGTTATTTTAAACTTTAAAGATATTTTTTTCGAGTCTTCTGGATGATTGTGAAGTTGGCATGCGTATGATAAAATTTCTGAAAATACACAACGGATTCCGTTTGGTGGTCGTTTGGTGGTGTTTGGTATACACTTTTCGTTGTTTGGTAGTTATAATTAAGAAAAAGAAAAGAAATTAACAATTTGACGCCAAATCTACAATAGCATTCCACTTTTTAATATTTTTTAAAAATTCCTTTTGGTATCGTTTGGTGGTCGTTTAGTGGTGATTGGTAGTCACTTTTGGTCGTTTAGTAGTCAAAAATATAAAAGATAATGACATTCCAAAAATGTGTATCTATCCGCGTAAAAGCGTCTGCTTGTACATTTGTAGCGCGAAATTTCAAAATTCATAAATTACAAATCTTTCGGTTTTGGTTATTACTGTCAATAATTTTATAAGCCATAATTATTTATTACCACAAAAGTGAATAAAATTATTAAGAAAAAACAAATACTCGATAAAAATTACTTTTCTATCAAATGCTATACAAAAATTTCATTACAGCATTCCACTTTATAATATTTTTTAAAAATTCTTTTTGGTATCGTTTGGTGGTGATTAGTAGTCACTTTTGGTCGTTTGGTAGTCAAAAATATAAAAGATAATTACATTCCAAAAATGTGGATCTATCCGCGTAAAAGCGTCTGCTCGTAAATTTGTGGCGCGAATATTTAAAATTCATAAATTAAAGTATTCTTATACTCATTACTTACTTTTACCATTGTTTATTTCTGAAAGAAAAGTCATTCAAGTTATTTTAAAAATTCTTTTTGTCATTGTTTGGTGGTCGTTTGGTATTAACATTTTATTGTTTGGTAGTATAAATTGTTAGAGATAATTAATTTTTGCATTATTTAATTAAAGTAATTTTTTCAAAAATTCATTATTTTCAGCAAAGATTTTATTATGTATCAGTCAATATGAGTATAATTTAGTATGTATAAATAACTTTAAGAATTTTTAGTAGTCCTTTAAAATTATACAAACAAATTTATTTATCAAACGCTTATTTTATTAACGACTACTTAAACAAGAGCATGTTTTTTAAACGTATAATAATATGAATTTATTATTTTAATTGACAAATGCAAGGAAGTGAGACAAAAATATATCTAATTTGTAATTTCAAGTAAAAAAAGGTTCTTACAAGTATGTAATCATTTACATTTATAGATCGATGAAATAATCATAGTAATTCACAGCACGGCGAGCAGGACTCATGCATTGAAATGGCATTTCAGTATTTTAAAAGTATGTTTCTTTATCATTTTAACACTTAATCATTAGTAGGTTCTTAAACTGAAACGGAGTGACAAATATAAAAGAACAAATAAGTTAGCAAAAGATAGGCACATGTTTCGTATATACACACATGACTTTTAAAACTTCGTTTATTTAAAAATAGGTTATTTTTAAAAAATGTATCTTTAATTTTGGTTTGGCTTTAAAATAAAATATTAAAAATAAATAATTTTTCACTTTTTAAGTGTCCTATTTAGAGTTATTTTTACAACTTTTATTTTTAAAAATAATTAAACAAAGTACGGTCACAGCTCGTCAAGTTTAATGACTTATAAATAACAAATAAATCTTGTATTACAAGTTCATAAAACTTTTCAAAATCACTAAAGCTGTTTTTCCAGCAAACGGTTCAATATATGAATTAACATTTTATATTAATTCATTTAAAAATGGAAGTATTTTTAACTATGATAATAATTTTTTTTAAATAAGAGTATATTAAACTTTGGGTTCGGTAGCATATAAAAAATTATAATAAAAAGAAAGTTTGTCCAGGAGATCAATCTAAAACTTTTGTGTAAATCACAGCACCTGGTGTGACAACAGTTCTAGTGTCAAAGAATGTCACTTCATCAACGGTGTCGTCATACAATTCCCATCGGTTTGATTTTCGGAGAGATACAGCTGTGTAATGATTGGGAGTATAAATGATAACTCCTGATAACCTGCGCAATAATAGAAGGGTAAACTATTAGAATCAATTGGCAATAATGAGTTAAAAAAATAGTGGTTTCATTACTTTAAAGTTAATTAAAAACAAAATATTTAAATCTGAATAATTGAAACCTTACAGATGAAAATAAGAAAATTAAGCAATTGAATCTTATACTAACGATATTCAGTCATTTAATGAAATTGTACTGATTTTCAGTAGAATTTCACTGACAATTAGTCGTATTTTATTGACGAGAAGATGAAGAAAACATGGCCACTAATATAAGTGGATTTTCACTAACAATCAGTGAAATATGACTAATTCAAATTTAGAGTGTAAACAAAATGAAGTGTAAATTTCCTTAAATGACCATAATTATATTACCTTAACTTCACTCCATATAATCGAATATACTTGGGAAAATCTGTCACTTTACAAGCAATGGAGCTTGATTTTCTGCAATCAGCTTCAAATAATACGTGTGCGTTTACACTCAAAGTTTCTGTCGTTTCATCGTTACACTTACTGCAGTCATTTGAGTGGTTTAGGTTGAGTATGATTGCACTTTCTAGAGCTTGAAACCCTTTTTCATCAATAATCTTGTGATTTAAATAAAGAGTGGACAGTTCCTGTACGTCTATAGTGCCACATTTGCAACTCCTAGTTCTGTAAACGCTTGGTTCCTGTTCTATTAAATACGACCACATCTCTGTAATATTGCAGTCGACTCGGATCTTGGTAACTAGTTGCGGTGGTTGTTTTTTGCTTATATACATCAGACTTTTCTCAGACGGTACTGTTCTGTGTTTAAATTCTTTTAGAATCATGCACCTTTGAATATACATATGAGGTTTTTCCCCAGAATCAATAAGCACCAGAAGAAATTTACAAGTGAGATTAAAAGAATCTTCAATGTGCTAAAAGTATTGCGAATAATCCATCGCAGTGTTTGATAAAATTTGGACTATAGAATCAAAAGGTCATGTTAACAGTATAAAAAAT